TCCATCATCATTCGATTTTTTTTCTTCACAAACAAAATGGATTAAAATTTAAGTTGTTTTTTTTTTTTTCTCTCTCCTTCTTTGTTGAAGTAATATATACATTATAAATTTGTTCTACTTTGTTGTTTGTATTTATGTATAGAAAAAAAAATAACGAAATCGAAAACGAATACATTTTCAGTTACACAGCATGAAAGTAAAATGAAAATGAACGATTGATTGCATTATTTTAGTCATTTACGAACAAATTAGATATGCTTATATGTATAACACTTGAATAGTGTAGAAAGAATATTGAAGATTCATGCTGTGTTGGTTACTTCGGCGAGAGACGAGCGATCGTTTGTCAAGATAGAGAAGTAGAATGATAGATGATGCGAAGAAAAGAAAAGGAAAGAAAAGAAAATAACTCTATATCGAATTCCATTCTAGCATCAGCTGATTCGCAAATAGTGCTGTTAGCCGAAAAGAAATTTTCCAGATTATAATTCCATCCATATAATTGACTATAATATTGAATAAAAAAATAACAATGATACTATTTCTTAATAGCAGTACTCATAACTACAAGTTTTATTTATTCACTTTTTTCTTTTTAATAACTGAATTTCATATATTAATCGAATATGAGTTAATTTTATTGTTTGATGAATATAAAATTTCGTAGTAGGTACTGTATTTTAGCCGTAAGCATTCATCCACCTGCTCATCTAAGGTCAGCAGAACACACGTCTGTATATCTTTCTTTTAGATCGATTCTATTTTGACGATGATGAGAATTGAAAGTTAAACAGCTCTTAGTTGTCACGCTATTAAAAAACAAAAAAAAAAAGTAAAATCATCAATGTTAAAGATTAAAAAGAGTCTTATAGAATATAGAACAGTAAGAATAAAACGACAAAAAAAATATATATCCTGTCAAATCTGTCATTTTCTTCCTATAGATGTCGTTCATTTCTTTTTCGATCATTAATGTTTGTCAAAATCGTTCACGAGAGGATATACTATTTATTAAAATGGCGTCATACAAACCAATCCTACGTAAAGAAATACTCATGATATATATGCTTCGAACTATTGTTTTTTATTTATCGAAAATAGTCGAGTTAAGTCACATTGACTCGTCATTGATTTGTTTTTTTTTTTTGTAACTGATTCATAAAAACTATTTAGTGATATTTTCAAGTAAATACATAGCATAACAAAATTTTTTTTTTGAAAAAAAAAAAAAGAAATTTTTTATTGACGTCTTAATAAATAGCGAACAGTAATGGCTACAGATTCATCTCAAAACGATAATCAAATAAATATAAGCGAACATAAAATTTTACTTGATAAAACAACAATGTATATGGAACAAGAAAGTGAAGAAGTATCATTACAAAAATCAAACGAAGAAACAAATGTTAGTGAACCATTATTATCAAATAATGAAACATTAACACGTAAAACTTCATTATCATCAACGAATTCACAAACAAGTAATTATCCAGATATATGTCGAATATGTCATTGTGAAGGTACAAAAGATGAACCATTAATATCTCCATGTTTATGTTTGGGTACAATGCAATATTTACATCAATCATGTTTACAACGTTGGATTAAAAGTTCTGGTGTTAAATCATGTGAATTATGTAAATTTGACTTTATAATGCATTCAGAAATAAAACCATTTAAACAAGTAAAAAAAACAAAAATTTTTATTATGTTTTTCTTTTTTTTTATTATTATTTCTTATTTATTTTAGTGGCAAAAATTAGAAATGAATGTTGTTGAAAGACGAAAAATAATGTGTTCTGTTGCATTTAATTTAATTGCTGTTACTTGTGTCCTTTGGTCACTTTATGTTTTAATTGAAAAAACAAGAGAAGAAGTTAAAGTTGGAAAACTTCGTAAGTTTATTGAAACGATTTCATTCTTTGAGATATAATTAACATTTATTTATTTTTATTTTTTCTAGAATGGCCATTTTGGACTAAATTATTTGTTGTAGCTATTGGATTTACAGGAGGATTGGTAAGAAAACAATTGAAATTATAGAAAAGTTTTGCATTTAAAATTTTATATTTCATTTGTTAGGTATTTCTTTATGTTCAATGTAAAATGTACCTTCAGGTAAAATGAAATTATTAGAAAGAATAGCTTTAATCTCTGATTGATATACATTATTTTTTTTAGCTTTGTATACGTTGGAGACAATTTAATCAACGTATAGTTATTCATTCAATCAACGAACAACAACATGAAGCTTCATCTTCTGGTAAATAAACTTATTGTTTTATTATTATTATTAGAAATTTTTTTTTTTGTGTTTGTTTTTCATGTTTTCTTTTTTTATTAGGAATAAAAAAACCAGTTAATGATAATAACGCTGATAATTGTATAGTGACAGTACTTGATATAAATGATTTACCTCCATTAAGTTCTGACACATCATTAACAACAATAGTTGGTAATAGTTCAAGAGATTCGACTCTTCCTCAATCATTAACCATTGATCGAAATCGACGTCATGAAAATAATAATAATAATCGAAATGTTTTACATCGATTTTTAATATTTCATCGATCGGATCGATCTCAAACATAAAATTATATTTTTAATCAATTCTATTTTTAAATTATAAACATATATATTTATATAAATAGTGTATATCTTCGAATCTCAAATAATTCATTATGGTAAAAATTTTAAAACAGTGAGCTCTATTGTTTTCTATTCTCTAACTAATATGTTCATGTATAAAAATTTTTCAAAATCGATATTTTCTAGTCATATTTTTTAGTGCAATGAAAAAAGAAAAAACAAAATATCTTTTTTATTTTCCATTAATCATATTCTAACGGTGTTTTTTTTTCTCTAGATGTTGTCTTTGTCTCTTTGAAAATAACTAATAGCTTATGCTTTTTATTGCAATTAATCCATATACTGTTCTTTTTATTGCGCTGTTGCTCTAATTTTAAAAAATTATCATAATAATAAAAGATAGGATCAAATATTATCATCGTTTTTGTTTTCTTTTATATATATATATATATGTGTAAAGATATCGATGTTGAAGGTAGTTGTGTTTCTTCTTAGAGTACGATTTTTTTTTTGAATTACTCATCCCTTATATCGACATATCATGAATATAACAATGACTAAGTATAAGTGATTGTAGCATATTTAAAGATAAATAAAATTAAGATGAACAGGACGTATACAGTATCATACTGGCAAAGTATGAAAAGTCTTAATTGAGATGAAGCGTAAGATATACTATGGTTTCATTCTTCACCATATTGAATGATGCGATATTCTTAAGTGTTTGTAGAAATGAAAGCTGTCAACCAATGTTCAACATAGGTCACTTTTTTTTGTGATTCGACCCGATCCGAACTCAACTGTTTTTTTTTTTCATGATCTGATCTGACCTGATCCTAGTCTGATACTGATGTTGACAACTTTTCTCTTGAGAAAAGCAATTTCTCAATTCCGTTTTTCTTCCGTTCATTTCATGATTGAAAACAAAGGACATGTGTCCTTAACATTTTTGCGTTCTTAATATTTCGTCGATATTTTGCTGTGGGGATGACATGATTATGTGATAGAATTTTTTCTTGTTTATTTTTCTCTTATTGCATATACAACCTGCGACCTTTATATCATCGTTAAACAGACAATGAACTCGCTACATACTGCAGTCCGATGTCAATGAAAAGAGCTTATTGAAGCAGAAGAAAAGATCGTATAATACATCACTCCTTGTTCCATTAACTTTTTCCATGATATCTGATAGAATTTCTAAATAAGCAAAACATTCAGAGCATCTTGTGTATCTGCAAAATGTTGAGGCCGCAGATCTATTTCAATATTCAAAATTTTTTCATAACCTGATTCAACCGAAGGTGTGATCCGACCATAGTCGGACACTGCGTCAATCCTAATCGATAATATTGAATCATCGAATCAGTTAAAGACATCGTATACAAACTTTCATATCAACAATTAGATCTAACAGATGTCTATTTCGAATCAGTCATTCGACAATATACTTAATGAATAGTCACGTGCACGATTTTGTATTAGCGCTTATCTTCTTTTCATAGTTGCATTGCACAAAATTGTCTTAAAATTATCATATATGTTAGTACTAGAGATGTGTAAAATTGGGAACGCTAGATACTGAGTTGCCGGGACCATATAGACACCAGATTTAGTGGGACCAAAACAACTTGGTCTTAGAAATCTTTAGTTAGTGCCTGTCAGACAAATGATATTTCTTCCTCCCAAAACTCTCGTATTGATCGGTTTTGACTCCATAAATATGGAAGATTCATAGCTTTTGGCTGTAAAAACAATGTTCATTATGCATTTGGTAGTATTTAGCCTTACGGAAATGCAAAAATAATTTAGTTTGTATTTGTTTTTCTCAGATACGATTATGGATCGTATAAATATGGATGCATTGTTTACAAATCAACGTAATGAATCTGATGATTACTATACAATTCTTGGCTGTGATGAACTTTCAAATGTATGTATTATATTACATTTCTATTTTGTTTTTTGTCAATGATAATTTTTTAGAAAGATCAAATTCAAGCTGAATATCGTATTCGAGCACTTCAATTACATCCAGATAAAAATTTAGATGATCCAAAAGCAAGTAAATATAATATGAATTTTTTTTTTTTTTACTTTTGTCTAACTGAATAGAATTTTTTCTAGTGGAACAATTTAAACAACTTCAAGAAGCTAAAGAAGTTTTATGTGATGATATTCAACGAAAAGCATATGATTATTGGCGTAATAGTCATATAACTGTACCATGGAAAACATGGCAATCAATCAACGAACGAAGTCAACCGGTAAGAAAAAAACAATAGGGAAAAAAAACACAGCTGCTCGTTTTCTCTTTTCAAATACGTTTTTAATGAGACTTATTCAATCTTTTTTTCACGTTTAAGTAAAAACATAACATCAAAAGAACATAGAGAGCATACGTAATCGCCTTCGGTCACTATTTGAACAGAAAAAAAAACAACAATAATCATCATTTTCTTTACTATCTCATTTTTCATGCATTTTCATCTGTCCGCCCAACTGATCGAACAAGTTTTTATAATCATTCTTTTTTTTTTTTCTTTTCTGTACACAAAATAACATGACGAGGAGAATATCACATATACTGTTGAATAAAGAAATAAAAGTACACAATTGAATTAAGTTTTAATCCATTTTGTTTGTGAAGAAAAAAAATCGAATGATGATGGA